CGAGAGAGCGAGAGAGCGAGAGAGCGAGAGAGCGAGAGAGCGAGAGACCTCATGCCCATTAGTATGTTTGAGGCTTTCCGTGGCTGGTGGTTGCTGTATGGGCTGGAGTGCATTATTAGCCCCACGATTGTTAGCCCTAATTGCTTTTGTTCATTTAAGATTTAAAAGTTTAAACAAAATGTAGGACCAACAACTTACTTGCTCGTTTTTATTACTTATTTATATTGAAGTAAATTTTGCATAACTTACCCTTGAGGCATAAACAACTTCAGTAATGTGCTCATGTTAACAGCACACCCAAATCTCTTAAATTCAGGATCCTGAATAACTTTAAGAGGCTGCTTGGTGTCACATTTTTTCTTCTCACCTTAAACAGAGATAAAATTACTTCTACAGTTGTTAGCCTTAAAAATACAAGATAAAAACACCTCAAAAACTTTTAAAATGCAAATATTCTCGATATATCGTAGCAATCAACATAGCGCAGCATTCAAAATACGTGGTGGCAGCAGACAGATTCTCCTCAGAACCTCATCCGTCATGGAGGCAAATTTGAGAAAAGTTCTGCTCTGTAAACAGAGCAGAAGGTAAGAATACAGGTTCATTCTACTCACCTTCGAACCTGTCCAGAGGAAATGTGAAAGAGAAACAACTTGTAATTTTCTCATCTTGAACAGTTAGATAAGTGAGTGCCAGAAGTGAGAAGACTAGCGTGCAAACACGATTGCCGAATGGTCTCCGTCTGCACCATTAATAATCTGGGACAACTAAGCATAGGAGGGTCTGATATCCAGCAGCTGTCTACCCCACACCAGGTCTTGGAGAAGTTCAGAGCGAGAGAGCGCAAGCGCGCGAGACAGCGAGTCACAATGTCTGGCCACTAGGGGATTGGGCAAAGGAAAGAGGGAGGCTGCAAGGGGAGCGCGAGAGATATTGCAAACAGGAGACGCAAGGTGTTGCAAAGAAGAAAAATAATTTCAATCCTGTCAAGAAAGAAATGCTCATCTAATAAGATGCTGAAATCAGAGCTCATGAATGCCCTGCAAACTAATCTGGTATCCCACAATTAAGGCTGTTTATGTTGACCAGCTACTTTATGTATAAATATGTAGTGAATGCTATTTAAATCTGTCTAAGATGCCGGAAAAGAGGTAGTAACTGTTTGGTTAAAATATTTGAGCTTTGTACATGCAATGAAAATACACCAAGTGACCTCACCAAGCTGGATCATGTTTGAGACACAGCTATTTTGAACAAAAGAAACTGTTGCTAAATTATGCCTGTTGTCTTGTGCCATTTTAAAATTCTGTGGTATCTAGAGAATTTAAGCTTCCCTTGTATGTTGCGGTTTTAAGTTTGACAGAAATTTGATAAACAAGGATCTTGACATATTCTTCAAATTCTATTTCCATGTACATTGATTGTAACGAGGTAATCTAGGTGGACATCTCAGAATAAGAGTTCCCTGATTCGACCAGATTAACAGCCCCAATCAGGAAGCCCTGGCTGACAGATAAGAGCAGCAATGTCAGAGGTTCTGTTCACTTGGAGACCGGGCTCTGAAGGAGCTAAATCAGTGTGTCAGGCACTCTCCACATGTAAATAAAGGTGACTTGGTACTGAGATATTGGCCTCTGCGGAGTTATTCACCATGCAGGTCCAAATATTCCACACATCAACAATTACAATAAGTCACATTACTATTTGACTGAATTACCTAATAGTTGAGTTAGTGACAAAGAAAAAGCAGATCCTGAAAGCCAATAAGGCAGCACCTGAAAATCAGGGCATCAAGAAAATCTCAAAAGGGTCTCAAAGAATATTTTGTGCCAAAAGTAGTGTACCATATTGCAGTGCATTCTGGAAGTCAGACACAACTTTGTCAACATTAACTTGATAGAATTCCCAAAGGCGCAGTTTAGGAAAGATGTCCTCCCACAGGATCGTGCGAAGATTCTGTCAAAAGAATACAACACAGTTACCTTCCATCGCAGATGTACTTGTTTCTGCAAACAATTAATCCAACTTGCCCTTGCTAGCATTGGTGCTCTGCATGAACCTCCTACCTATCAAACACATGCTGCTGTTCCTTCTTTACTCAAATATATGTTGCCTCACCTTAAATGCATCGGTGTCATTTACCAAAACTCCGCTGCAAGGCATTGTGGGGAGGGGAAATCAGCCAGTAATTGTGGTACATGTTGGTACCAAAGAGGGATGAGGTCCTGAAGGCTGAATTCAGAGAGTTAGGAGTCAGATTGAAAGCCAGGACTTCAAAAAGGTAGTAGTCTCCAAATTACTACCTGTGCCACATGCTAGTGATGCTAGGAATTGGCAGATTAGGCAGTTTCATATGTGGCTGGGGGAGTGGTGTAGGAGGGAGGGCTTTAGATTTCTGAATAACTGGGATCGTTTCTGGGCAAGGTGGGACCTGTTCAAACAGTGACAGGGCCAATATTCTTGTGGGTGGTTTTGCTAGCACTGTTGAGTGGACTTTAAACTAGTTTAGCAGAGGAATGGGAACATAAGGGGAGGCTCTGAGTTAGCTAGAGTGGGTGAGAGCTTAAGGAAAAAGAAAAAAAAATCAAGATAGTAAATAAAACGTAAGAAGCAGCTGAGCAGCACAGCACTAAGGTGAGTGGAAACCAGATAGCAAAAGGTGAGAATGTTTGAAAACAAAAGACTGTTTTGTTAGGATTCAAAAAGCAGGTATAAAAACTAGCATAACGGCATTTTACCTGAATGCTTGCAGCATTCATACAGAGTTATAGAGCACAAAACAGACCCTTTGGTCCAACCAGTCCATGCGGAGTCTAATCCCAAACTAAACTAGTCCCACCTGCCCACTCCTGGCCCCTATCCCTCCAAACTTTTCCTATCCATGTACTTCTCCAAATGTCTTTTAAACATTGTAATTGTACCCACATGCACCACTTCCTCAGGAAGTTCATTCCACACGTGAATCACCCTCAAAAAAAATTGCCTCATGTAGTTTTTAAATCTCTCTCCTCTCACCTTAAAATATGTACCCACTAGTCTTGAAATCCCCATTCCTAGGAAAAGATAACTACCATTAACTTTATCTATACCTCTCACTATTTTATAAGCTTCTATCAGGTCACCTCACAACCTCCCACACTCCAGTGAAAAAACATCGTGAATGGTTATGATTTGGTGGCTATTACAGAGACATGGTTGCAGGGTGGTCACAACCAGGAATTAATTATCCAGGGTTATCAGACCATTCAGAAGGACAGACAGGAAGGAGAGGAGGTGGTGTAGCTCTAATATTTAAGGATGACATCAGGGTAGCAGTGAGAGATAATATAGGTTCTATGGAGGAAAAACGTTTAATCAACGTGGGTGGAAATCAGAAACAGTAAGGGGAAAAAGCCACTGATTGGTTTAGTCTTTAGGCCAGCAAATAACATCATCAGGGTGGGGCAGGCAATAAACAAAGAAATAACTAATGCATGTAGAAATAATACAGCAATTATCTTGGGGGATTTTAGTCTACATATTCATCGGTCAAACCAAATCAGTCAAGGTAGCCTTGAGCAGGTGTTTGTAGAATACATCCGCATTAGATTCTTCAAACAGTATGTAATGGAACCTACGAGGAAGCAAGCCATCTTGAACTGGTCCTGAGAAATAAGGCAGGAATAATTGATGATCTCATGGTTAGGGACCGTCTCAGAAGAAGCAATCATAGTATGGTTGAATTTAAAATACTGATGGAGGGTGAGAGGGTAAATTCCAATACCAGTGTCTGGTGCTTAAACAAAGGTAACTACAATGGGATTAGGAGGAATTGGCCAAGGCAGATTGGGAGCAAAGGCCATATGGGAGGAGAGTTGAGGACTTTCAAAGCAATTTTTCACAGTGCTCATCAAAATTATATACCAGTGAAAAGGAAGGACAGAGGATAATCAACCATGGATAACTAAGAAAGTAAAGGTGGGTATCAAATTGATAGCAAATGCATACAAAGTGGTAACGATTAGTGGGAAACTAGGGGATTGTGAAATCTTTAAAAAGGTCAACAGAAAGCCACAAAAAAAAAAGCTATAAAAAGGAGAAGTAAGATGGATTATGAGTAAAGAAACTCAAAAGTTTCTATAAACATATAAAACAAAAGAGTGGCTAATGTAAACATTGGTCTTTTTAGGAGGATGAGAAGGGGATTTAATAATGGTAAATAAGAAAATGGCCAAGACATTGAACAAATACTGTGTGTTGGTCTTCATTGTGGTAGAGACAAATAACATGCCAATAATTGATGACAAGGCAGCTGTGGCAGGTGAGGACCTGGAAACGATCATTAAAGAGGTAGTGTTGGGCAAGCTAATGGGGCTAAAGGTAGACAAGTCTCCTGGCTATGGTGGAATGCATCTCAGGATACTAAAAGAGACAGCAGGGGGTATAGCAAATATGCTCGTGGTAATTTACCAAAATTCAGTGGACTCTGGGGTAGTTCTGGCAGATCGGAAAACAGCAAATGTGACACCACTGTAGACAAAAGGCAGGTAACTATAGGCCTGTTGGCTCAACCTCTGGTGAGGAAAATGCTTGAATCTACTTTCAAGGAAGAAATAGCTAGACGTCTGGATAGAAATTGTCCCATCAGGCAGATGCAGCATGGGTTCATGAAATGCAGGTCATGTTTAACTAATTTACTGAATTTCTTTGAGGCCACAACAAGCATGGTGGACAATGGTGCATTTCAAATTGAGAAGGCATTCAACATGATGCTGCACAAAAAGCCGCTATAAAATATAAAGGTGCACGGTGTTATGGGTAATGTATTAACATGGAAAGAGGATTGGTTAACTAAGAGAAAGCAAAGAGTGGGGATAAACAGGTGTTTTTTCTGGTTGGCAGTGATGGGACTACAACTGTTTATAATTTACACAGATGATTTAGAACTGGGGACGAAGTGTAATGTGTCAAATTTCACAGATGAGACTAAGATGAGTGGTTGGGCAAAACGTGCAGAGGACAAAGTCTGCAGATGGATATAGATAGGTTAATTGAGTGGGTAAGAGTCCGACAGATAGAGTACCGTGTTGGTAAATTTGAGGTCACCCATTTTGATAGGAATAAGAGCAAAATGGACTAGTTTTTAAAAAAACTGGTGAAAAATTGCAGTGTGCTGCTGCACAGAGGGACCTTGGTGTCCTGTGTTTGAATCATAAAAAGTTGGTTTGCAGATGCAGCAGGTAATTAAGAAGGAAAATGGAGTATTGTCCTTCATTGCTACAGGGATGGAGTTTAAAAGCAGGGAGGTGATGCTGCAGCCAAACAGGGTGCTGGTGAGGCCACACCGACAGTACTGTGTACAGTTTTGGTGTCCTTACTTGAGAAAGGATGTACTGGCACTGGAGGCGGTACAGGGGAAGTTCGCTAGGTTGATTCTGGAACTGACAAAGTCGGCTTACAAGGAGAGATTCAGTAGACTGGGACTATACTGATTGGAACTTAGAAGAATGGGTGGGTGGGTGGGTGGGGGGTGCAGGTGGGAGCGGGTGGTGGTGTGGATCTTATAAGAAAGATGTAAAATTATGAAGGGAATACATACAATAAAGCAGGGAGGTTGCTTCCACTGGCGAGTGAAACTAGAACTAGGGGGCATAGCCTCAACCTCAAGGGAGGTGCAGGTTTTGCCTTCACCCAAAGAGTTGTGAATCTGTGGAATCCCCTGCCCAGGTGAAGCAGTTGAGGCCAAGTCATTTAATGTTTTTAAGGCAAAGTTAGATAGATTTTTGAACAGTAAAGGAATTAAGGGTTATGGTGAGCAGGCAGACAAGTGGAGTGAGTCCACAAAAAGATCAGCCATGAATGGCGGAGCAGGCTTGATGGGCCAGATGGCCTACTCCTGCTCCTATTTCTTATTTACTCATGTGGTAAAGTGCCACATTCATTACAACACTCTGGGCAAGAAAATTTCTCCTGAGTATACAAACGCAAATATTACTTATACAATGTAAAATGCAATCTTGATCTGTGGTGAGTTAGTGGATCTCAACTGTAACGGGGATACTAAAAAAGGTTGTAACACTCCCACGATAGGGAGCAACATCAATAAAAAAAAAAAAAAAAAAAAAAAAAGACAGGCTTGCCTCCCCACAAATTGCTGACCTATTCCTCCTTCTAAACGAGAGGGCAATCCAAGTTAATGGCATGGTTCACTTCCAGCATCCACTTCCTTTTACAGCGCTCCCTGCCCTTAGTGTTGCAGCTTACACATCATCAGTAACCACTTGGCTGAGTTATCTGACCAAGGGCCAGAAATCTTTTTGAAGAGATATTCAGAGGGGGGAAAAAAAGGTTGCTTCGAGTATAATTGCCTTGTACTTACGTCAAGTTGACTTCCATTTTCAATGGCAGCAGGCAGTCCCCTATCCTGATATTTCCCTTTGACCACATCACAAGTTAAATGCCACAAGGCTCGATCGAGAAGCCAAGCAGGTTTCAGATGAGGGGAATTTAAGATGTTGTAGGAACATTCTGGGTGTTTTTTCAGCCAGCCACTGTTGGCAGCTAGTGAGCAAATGTGAAGAAAAAAATTAGAATCAACCATTTACTACCCCTTATAAAATTTAGATAGTGGTAAAAAAGGTTGACATCAGCTAGACCTTCATAATGTATTAACTCTGCTATGTTCTATTTCAGAGCCAGATATTCCAAAACTTTTGTAAAATTAAATGAGATACACCAATCACAAATAATAGTTCAAACATAACCTGTTCTCAATATCGGAGATATTTCAACCCATTTCATTACACCTTCTTAAAATATTGAGCCTACATTTATTTTCCTTCGTATTTAGCTCATTAAAAATTATAGGAAGAAGAAATTGCTGCCTCAAATGTCAAAAACTTAGGATGACCAGTTTTGTTTTACAGACCGACACAATGCAAGTTTTTTTTTGAAAAAGAAGTGGAAATGGTTTGATGACTATTCTGTTGATAATGATGACTTCCATGTTCTTCCACGGGGGAATTTTCACAGGAAATGCACAATTAATGCAGGGCTTAGAAACTTTTGTGGCAATAAATTTATTAGTTGTAGGAACAGAGGAGAACTTGAATAAGTTACAGGACGGCCATCTCACTTATCTGCAAATATAAAGTAGCTCAGTTGACCAGGCAGCTGATTTGTGATGCAGAGTGATTCCAACAGTGTGGGGATCTTGTGGGAGAAACAGATCATAACAGGGAGGAGTGTTGAATGGAGATGGGGTGGGGGGTGAGGGCCTCCTGACTTCCAGGCCCTTTTCCCTTTTCACCCTGGAAGACTCACCCATTCCCATGTCAGCTCTTCGCTGCATCGCCTTGTCCTACCACTGAACTCTACTTTAAAAAAAAAAATCATATGTTTGCCATGACCTCACACTTCAAGTCTACATGATATATTGTATTTGGAACCTTGTGCACGCCCATGGCCAAAAAAAAAGTGCACCCTTGCACGCAGTTGTCTGTGTAGATAAACACTAGCTTTTGTCAAAGCCTTTTGACGTGCACTAGTTATTCTTTTAAATGTCCTAATGAGTATCAATGTAAAAGGGAACAAAATGTACGTAAAGAGAGAGTGTTGATTAATTAGTAAACGGAGTCTGATTGATAGAAGCTTGCCATGGAGAATGTGCCAGTTAAATAAGAACTGACAGTTAACTGCCAAGAGATAGTAGGAACTGCAGATGCTGGAGAATCTGAGATAACAAGGTGTAGAGCTGGATGAACACAGCAGGCCAAGCAGCATCAGAGGAGCAGGAAGGCTGACGTTTCAGGCCTAGACCCTTCCTCAG